AATAATAATTTATGAATTATGAGGGGTTCATGAGGGAGGCAAATGTTTTGAGAATGATGAGGGCAACAAATGTCCATATGTGCTTTCACCATGGATGGATGGATGGATGGATTGTGATAAGAACTGTACAAGCCCCCAATAAAATGATTTTTTAAAAACGTGCTGAAAAACCCGCTTATAGATGAGTATATACGGTAATACTTTTTTCTAAAAGCAATGACTATTATACATGTTCTTACCTTGAGCTTGCAGTTTTCTAAGCAGTTTGGCATCTGTGTTATCTAGGAATTCGGCATTTCCAACATTAGGAGGTCGACCCTTCCGACGACGCATTCTTGCCTCCTCTCTTGCGTGCTGCCTGTCTGGATTTGGTGGTCTTCCTCTACGGCCGTCCATGGTCCTGACGCGAGGAATGACATCCTCTTCTTTCAAAAGACACCACTGCATTCCCTTGAATTAACATTTGATAAAAATATATCACAAACAAAATAAACATGAGAGCATGCAAAAAAAACCCACCCATTTACAGATACTTAAAATTTTAAAGAATGGCATAAATCTTAGGGATTTTATTAAATATTGATCTATAATTGTTCATAGTCTTGCTGTGAACACCTACATGTATAGGACAGATTCAAAACCTTCGTGACAAAATGGAATTTTTCCACAAAATTTCTGAAGCCCCCTCATATAACCCAATCACCATCTCTAAATTATAAAGGCTGGAAAGTTGGGGATATTTGAAAATATTGTTTGTATCACACCTGTATCGACTATTCTTGTGATCAACTGCAATAGTAGGCTATCCAAATTACAGATGAGCGTAAGTTTCTCTTTATATATGTACCACTACTAACAAATGAAAGGGAAAAAAAGACTATCTGAATTTTGCAATACTCAATGAATTAATGGATTGAAGCACCAAGTTTGAATGACTGACTACATCAAACGAAAGAAATTGGACAGCTTCCTTTAGGCTCACCGCATCTATAAAGCAGTGTTGCTTCCCACTTCTGAAGGCAATATTTACATTTCTCCAACCTAGGAGAATTCTACACTCTTTGGATTTACACATCAAAGTGGCACTTTTGGCATCCTCTAGGGACTCCAGTTGGGTTCCTTCTCAACTGTTCTTTGAATTTGGGGGTGGGGGGAGTCTGAAAGGGCAAGATTCGCTGTAGGGTGAACAGGGTAAGATTTCACAAGGAAATTCTCCCGAGACAGATGACTTTCAGAATGAATATGCTGATTGTTCAGATCGAGGGGGGGGAAATTCCTTGGTACAACTATTCTGACCTTTTTCTTTTTTCTCACCAATTTTCCTAAAATCTCTTCCTATCAAGATTCTGCGAGAGTGATCATTCTGCGAGAGTGATCACATAATAGGCTTTTGAGAAATCACAGGAACTGCCCACAAGAGTCACCATCACCTTCATAACCTTCTGATGGCGTTGTCTTTGTTGTGTGCTGTTCTTGTTAAACTGGCGTCGAGTTACGCCTCAACTCATGCTGATTCCCTACACGACAAGATGGGAAGACCTCTGCAGCCCGTAAAGTTTATATTAGCTGATTTTCTGTCCATCTTAATAATTACAACAAAAACTACGCTGAAATCTGTGTAGCATCACATCAACACAGGCCTCCATTGATGGATGAGTGGTCACTTCATGTGGGCTGGCTGGGAATCAAACCCGGTCTCCTTCGTGGTAGGTAAGAATTCTACCACAGCAGCACCACCAGGTGCATATTATCCTGTCTACTTGCATATACATATTTAAGATTTCCACTTGTCTCCTGAATGAGGCAGACACAAAGTTATACTCAATTAATATGGTCCCTAGAACCATAATCCCTTATGTGATATAATTCTGGATTCCAAATGCCTGTCCCATTTTGTAGGGCATTATCTAAGGAACAATGAGAGAATGGGATTAAAACCTGAGTTTAGTAGAGGGTGTGAATGGTACCACTCTTTAACGGTGACCTTGGTTACTGTTACTCGTAGTGGATGCAAGGAATGATGTGCTACAGCTGAGAGGGCAGTGGCCTGGAAAAACGGCTGGTTGATTAAGATTTAGGAGGAGGACAATGCCGACTGGAGACCTCCTCCTAGAGCCTCCAAGTCATATGTGCATAAATAAGATACAGTCCAGGGGTGGAAAAGATTACTATAGTTGGGTGAAGGGTTGTATGTTAATTTGATTGCAGCACGTAATTCTAACCCAAGGACCTTTCCTTGCATGGGTCTGCTAAGAAGGTGGGGGAAGAGACTGACAGGATTCACCTGTGAGTGATTGTGAACAGGCTTCCTTGCAATGTCACTTTGCTGCGTATAAAATGAACCCGCCGAGAAGCAGGGGGTGTAATCTCATCAGTAGTAAGAGCCGGGAGTGAAGCTGGTCTACTGGACCCACCATCTAGCTTACTCCTGCCTGGCCTTTGGAATTTGGACTGAGCATCATCCACCAGCACCTGAGATGTTTCCTCAAACCTCCCGGAATTTCCGTGGGATACTGTAGTGATTTCACAGAAACCAGAAATGTGAGGGAATGTACTCCAGGGAGGTGGGGAATAAAACAGACATAACATGTGGGAAGAGCTGGACTTTGGGGATTTCTTCAATCTTGAACTCCTTGGAACTAGTTTGGTATTAATGCTTACCAAAAAAATTATTACCATACCCACAAACATAATACTCATGTTTTATACAGTAAATTAACTCTGTTATGTATGCAGATACCATCTAATTGTCATCTATTGCATATATATCAATCAATATAAATACATGTCATATTCCACGATTTACCATCCAAAGTAATAAGTTCACATATAGTAGAGGTGTTCCTTTAAAATAATGTTTAATTATAGTAATATGTACATATTTATACAGTTGAGTCCTTTGATGGAAAGGGTAGGTAAGAAAATCTGTTAAATAAGCTCTTCTCTAGAAAGAGCGTTGAGCTACAAATTTCATTTGGACCAACAGAGACACTAAAGCAATACAGATTTCCTGAGTCACATTTCATGCTGTCGTTTCTAATCACTATGAGTCTGACTATTTCCACGAAACGGGTACGAAAAATACAAATACTATTCCATGCTACTGAAATGGATAATGGTAATCTCACTATGTTTCAGGCACTTTGAATAAATGATATACCTTAATCCTGACAAGCGCTCCCCTTCATCAGGTAGGTTTTATTGTCCCTACATTATAGAGGAAATGCACACACAGTGAAGTTAAGTGACTTGCCTCAGGTACAGCACTAGCATGGACTAGAGCTGTCATTCAGACTCAGGACTGTCTCATCTTAAAACCGATGCTTCAACAACTATGTATACCTAATTGGTGTTAGAAAGTTGTTCTTATACTTGAAAAGTGACTCGTCAAAATATTCAGTCATAAAAGCACAGCCAAGGTTATGACAAGGAAGAATGCTCAGTAAAAATAAATGAAAAACGAGTACACACAGTTACATTTCTATATGTTAAAAATACTTTATCAAGCCCTTTCAGTAATTCTCAAACTAAAATAATTTTAAAATGCTGAGAAAACTGAGAATTTTGAAATGAGGTTTCAAAATTATGTCAAGAGGAGCAATAGTTGTATCACCTGCATGTTCAGGCTATAAACCACTCAGAAGGAAGCCATCAATACGTTTTCATGTTCACCAGCACGGGAGGCTTTTGACTAGTTTCGGTTTTCAGTTTTCTGTTCTACTCACAGGCAATAGGGCAGCATGCACCACATAAGTTGGAAAATAAAAAAGTGGCATTTGTGACACTGGGAGCAGGAGAGAGAGAGACTAATAAAAGAGTCTGTAACTGAATCTGCATTCGGTTTTCAAAGTATCTTATTAATATAAAAATCAATTTTTGGAAAAGATTTAAGGGGCTCCATCAACTTCTTTTACCCAGATCTAACTTTATGTAGTTGTGTTTTATTATGCTAGGGAAACATACCTGTGTCAGAAAGGGAATGGAAGAACACATCCGTGCCCCTAAACGTACCAGACAAATAGTATGACACTATCATTTACAATTTTCTGCCCTGGGCATTTGGAAAATGCTATCAAAGGGAACTGCATGATTGAGTCGGATGCAATGCTTTCTGAGTCGTAGGCTACTGAACATGAGAAAAGGGTGGCCGGGGAAGCGGAAGCTTTCATTCCAGCTTCAAGTCACTGAACGGCCCAAAGAATTGTGGCTTTAAAAGGACTATGGAAAATAAAGTCGTGACTTTTTAATAAACTCTTCATCAAGAAAAAAACTACAATTTATATAACCGATTCACACAATATGTGCTGTTATCGATAAAATCAGTATCAGAGTTAATTTATTAATTTTCCCTTCAGTTTTTACTAACAAAAACCCTCGCTGCCATCAAGTCAAGTCTAACAAATAGCGACCCTAGTTTTAAGACATAGTAAATATGTCTTTAAAAATAATCTCTTGACTAAGAAAAATTTTAAATATGGATAAAAATATAATAGATGATCTCTATTAAGTGTGTTATCCCTATATAGTTTCTGCTTCTAACAGTCACTAATTTATTACTTGGCCAACAATATATTCACTTGTAAAAATGCTGTAGGAGAGAATAACAGAATTCATGTTTTATTTCAGAAGACTGAACCAAATAAGGTAAATAAGTGACGTAATTGAAAGTATACTGAAAGGCCGTGTGCCTTATGAACACGAGTTTCTATTACAGAAACATTGGTTGTGACACTTAGCGTAACATTATCTACAGGTGAGCGACAGAGGCCTTAAGGAAAGAACCAACAGTTTTCACAAAAACTTGCAGTCAAACTGTCCTAACTGAGGTGATCAGTGACCCTACCGAGAGCACCGACGGACGTGGAGAGGCAACGAGAGCGAATAGGACATACTCGGTTCTCCACATGAGACGGAGCGTCTGATGCAAACCAGGGAGGGGCGCAGGGCAGGGAAGGGATTTCTAACACCAAGGGACTGGGATTGAAGACGGTCTGGCGGGAGGGGCGGAGACCTCAGTGAAAACAGAAAGGTGGAGGAATAGCTTATAAACTAGTGCCTGTCTTCACCTTGCAGACGCTGAATTGTCTAAGTAACTGGGTTTCCCAAATGTCACTGAAATCTAGAGTCTATTTGTGGTTTACTTGGTCACATGGTTTGGTCTTAATGTATATGCTGTCAAGTCTCAGTCCTGCCTCACTCTTGTCTTGGATGGTTTTTGTTTTTAATTTGTAAATGGATTTTTTTTATCAAAGGTAAAGCCGTACATAAGTAAATGAAGTCAACGGCTACCAGTCCACCAACCGCCAAGTCACTAAATGATGCACTTGCCAAGTTACGGAGGATATATTTAAGTTTAAGCTTTAGGATCTCCACGGCTTACTGCGACAGTTTTTACTATGGATTTGCTGCCACATGCATTAAATGCAGGCGCCCCAGGGGTGGCTACCAAC